AAATTATATATCATTAGATACAGATTTTTATGCGGATTCCAAATATCACCTTAAAATTTGTAAACAATGAATTCACTCTTGAGAAAAATCTATTTTATCATAGGATGCTAATAGAGGACTATTTCGGTTGTCGTCCTCCAGCGACCTAGCTACATCACTAAAAAAGCCGAAAAAGCACTCAGTCCTGTTTGGAGTTGATTTTTCAATCAGAATCACGCAAAAAACGGTTTAAAGCCCGACTTTGAACAGTTTTGGGATAGAATACTCAAAAAACGTGCAAAAGACCAGGTTTTTTGAAATTTTTTGCCTTAATATTATAGAAGAACCAAATCTTTAATCCACTAATGACATAGATAGATCGATGCAGTTTTTCATGATCTATCTGAGTATGGCTACAAAAATAGGGAAAAATATGGAACATGCCTAAATACTGGAAATACTTGGATCAGAGCAGAAAAGTCCACAAATGCGTCGGTATTTCAAGACTATAATCAATAAAAAATTGACTTTTCTATAAAATGCGTATGATATTCGGAATCAGTACTCAAAACTACATCTAACAACATGGATTCCGTCAATAGTTATGTTTTAATGAAATTCGACTCCTACTACCCCTCAGTTCTTTTCTATTGTAATTTCGCCTGTAGTTCCCGTGAGGCAAATTTTGATGAGAAATTTGTTTTTGACGGAATTCATGTTGTTAGATGTAGTTTTGAGTACTGATTCCGAATATCATATGCATTTTATGGAAAAGTCAATTTGTATTGGTTATAGTCTTGAAATACCGACGCATTTTTGGGCTTTTCTGCTCTGATCGAAGTATTTCCAGTATTTAGGCATGTTCCACATTTTTCCCTATTTTTGTAGCCATCTTCAGATAGATCATGAAAAACTGCATCGATCTATCTATGTCATTAGTGCATTAAAGATTTGGTTGTCCTATAATATTAGGGCAAAAAATTCAAAAAACCTGGTCTTTTGCACGTTTTGTGAGTATTCTATCCCAAAACTGTTCAAAGTCGGGCTTTGAACCATTTTTTTGCATGAGTCTGATTGAAAAAGGAACTTCAAACAGGACTGAGTGCTTTTTCGGCTTTGTAGTGATGTAGCTAGGTCGCTGGAGGACGACAACCGAAATAGTCCTCTATTAGCATCCTATGATAAAATAGATTTTTCTCAAGAGTGAATTCATTGTTTACAAATTTTAAGGTGATATTTGGAATCCGCATAAAAATCTGTATCTAATGATATATAATTTGATAATATTAGAAAGAAAAATTTTTTTAATGATGCTGGGGTTCCCCAGGTCCTAAATGACAGGTGGGAAAAAGTCGTTTTTCGATAGAAAAAAATACATCATTCTACTGAGCATTTCACGCTGATTCAGAATATGTAACTCTTTTTGAAAAATATCGTGGACAAAAAAATGGCCTTACTGCCACTTGTCGTTTGATAAAATAAATGTCTGATGAATAAAACAAAGAAAAAGGAAATTAGTTTTAAAAGTGTACGTCATTCAAAGCTGTATGGGTGTTCTAATTATAGATATAAGCTAGCAATTAATTAGAGCGAGACAGAGTTGTTTGTTAGTCGACCAAGTAAAAGCTTTAAGATTAATTTGAAATGAAACATGATTGTAAAAAAACTGCACTGTCAAGTTCTCTTTTTCCTATTGACAATATCTCGGATGAGAAGTATCATTTCATTTCGAATAATCAATCAATATGAAATGTAATATTATTTTGGAACTTCTTTGGTTAAATACTTTCATAGAATTACTCATGCACACGCTTAAAGTATGTTACCGAGATAGTTCATTAGTCGATAGTGAAGTATATGTATATATTCTTGCCTTACCGTTAATGATTTTACGCAACATTTCTTCTATGTGTAGGCGAAAAAAATCTAACAATGATCCTTATTAACCATATTTTATTTGCGAAATATCATGATATTAAAAAGAAAAGCTAATTTTAAACATTCTATTAAAACCTTCAATTGCAAAAGGATTTTACGTTTATTTTTATTTATTATTTTATATGATATATTCATTAATTTAAAAAAAACAACGGAGAAATTTGTACTTAACATAATTAAGAAAGAATTCCAGTAGTCTATAAATATAAGTTAATCATATTTAAAGAAATAACACTGTACACTTATTGAATCACTTATCATATTAAAACATTGTGTTATTATTTTATAAGCGTCAAGCATTCTTCCTATCTACCATTGATTTGCCAACCTTTAATTGATTCACACTTAACAATGTTATATGGGGAAGTATAAATAATTATTCGTTCATGGGTGTATGGATATCAATCTAGAAATCAAACAGTAAATTGTTTATAGGTATTCATTTATTTCATTACAGATTGAAGTCTACGGATTTTTTTGTTAAATTTTAGCATATTCGAATATTTATGTCAATTTTATTCAAATATTCAACTCAATGATTATAATGAATGAAATTTTCTTATTAACTTATGTTATATTAATGATAATATTCAAATATAATTATTCAGATGAAAATTTGATATTGATAAACGAAATTCTGATGAATAAAATTTAAATATTTCTCGTCAAGAATTTTTTCACAAAAATGACCAAAACGATACGTTGGTGTTCAGTGACGAAAGTTTAGACAGTGGTCATTTAATTCACGGTTATAATCGATACATTGACGACGATATTTACATAATGGCACGTGTCGATAAGCTTTAAGATGTTTCTTACTCATGTTTTCACAACGACCACGATCACGGCAAAATTCAGGATGTTCAAATTCATTTAGATGTATTAGATCATACTCAATTAATTCGCATTCACCACCATATGAACATATTTGACGATGTCTGAACCAAATCCTATGATGATCATCATTTTTCTGTGAACATGATACCGTATTATTTGCGTATGGGCATAAAGGCGGATGTAAATATTCACGACAATGCTGTATATTTTTCAAGTCATAACATTTTCCACCATAACGGCATGCATTCGAACGATAAATTCTAATATCACTTAATGTTATTTCATTAATAGTTGTATAATTTAAAATTTGCCAAGGTCCAATCATCATGCCGACAAGCTTATTACGCTCTGGTTTTTGAACTAAACAATCGAGTAATTCTACAAAAGGACGAAAATTTTCTATTGGATTAAGAGTCTGATCTGTATTATGATCATCAGCAATAGCAAAATAAATACACTTGAAATACCCAGCATATTGTTCGATAACTGATTTGAATATTGCTGCAACGTGCTTTGGCGGATTTCTGAACGTGCCACATCCAAAAGCAGATAGGACGAGAGTATCATGGTTTTGATGATGTGCAATAGCAAATATATTTTCAATTTTTTTTCGTGTACCAATAGAATATTTTGAAGAGAGAAGATCATTCTCAATTTTTGGATCTCGATAAGGCGCCATTGCGATAGCACATACATCATACATAGGTATTTCCATGAAAGCATAGCCAATATCTTCAGATTGCCGAAAAGCTGTCAAGCCCGATGTATAAATTGCCCCAAACTCATCCATTGGATATAGTACATCATGGTCAGATAAAGGTTCTAGTTCGGAATTCGAATTACAATAGAAGCGTGCTGTTGGTTTTTCATCATCTAATTCAAGATCGAGACTTTGAAAATAATTCGAACGACGAAAAAGTGTCTCTTCTTGAGTTCCGTCACCTCGTTTGTAGCCACCACCTGGACTATTCGCATGGGCCATATTGAGAAGAACTGGTCGACTGCCTTTGAGTACTAAATGCTCGTAAGCAATCAAACAATCTTCCTTGATTACACTAACTGATGTCGATGGATAGGGAAATTCTGTTGCATGTGACAGCGAAGTTGTCTTACCATGTTGCAATTTTGAATTATGGTCATAGAGAATAGTTTTTATTCGATTCGGTTTTAGTTTGACTTCTTTTTCGCCAATACGATAAGAACCTCTTTTTACTACACCAATCGTATTTAACATCACTGTCATTCGTAATAGATGACGTTTAAGGTTGCATAATTTTTCATATTTATCTCCATCTTTTCCATCAATCTTACGGTCATTCGATGTCCAACGTCGAAATTGTTCTAAAAATGCTTTTGCATTCCATTTAGATCGAAATATATGATGCTGAGGATTAGAAATAAATGGCATGATGTCGGGTTTATGATCACACATTTCTGTTTCATACCAATTTTCGGCATCGATTTCACTATTTTCAGGATTACTTGCAAATGTATAAACTTCAATACCCAATACATGGTCACCAATACGTAAGGCACCTTGATTAATACATTTCTCATAAACATTTTTATCTGAAAGTTCGAGAATGACATGTTCATCAGTGTGCAATATTTTAATAATAGTATCAGCAAAAATTTTATGATGTTGAATATGTGATATTGATACACTTTTAGGCACGGATCGTATCAAAAGACGATAAGCAAGACTATCTTTCTTCATAATAACTCGTCCATCTAACTGAATTGAACTATGCAATGCCCATATTCGAGCTCTACCTGATGCTATGACAACAGCATTGGCACACTCTTTGTTATATTGAATATGTATTGATTCTTTCGACATGTGTTCATCAGAAATTAACCTCCTAATAGCTACTTTCAATCGATCCAAATTTGTCGTTCGTGGTAAATCTTCAAAGAAACTGCAGTCAGCTCGAAAATAAACAGTTGCAATGTGACCATTGATTGAGAATTCCTTTATTGACGTAGCTGTGAGTAGTTCTCTTAATGAATGCATCACTATTCGAAAGATATTCGGAAATTGAAAAGATAATGGTTTACATTGTGGTTGGGATTGCATCTTACACAGATGAACCCATCGTCGACATATCTCATCACCTGATGGAAGATTTTCCATATCCTCTCCATCGACGACAATGTAGGAGATAAGCTCGAGTTCATCTACAAATGATACTGTTATATTTTTGGACGCTTCAATTACAATGCATTCGACGATATTAATCAAATAATTCTTATCTTCATCATTAGGCAAATAAACGATGCCAATGCCTAATTCTGCATCACATTTAATATCAAGTACTATTAGTTTAAGTTGAAGTTCTAAACGTTGACGAATAATATTTTCGAGTAATTGATTACTATCGATGTTCGCTGGCAAATAGGGTATATAAACAACAAAACGGCCACCTCCATTCGAGTTTCTTGACGATGGTCGACCTGAAAAGTAATGTTTTTGACTAATTTGAGTAAATTGATGTGTTTTCTGACGTTTTCCTGAAAGAGATTTTTTCTTAGAAAATCCATGCTACGTTCGACATAACATAGTCGTAAATAGTTTGTGATGAGGAAATAGAATCAGTTGGCGAATCGAGTAGCGAGATTTAGCATATTTCTCGAAAACATGTCAGCTTATCTGGGACATGTTTAAAACAAATCTATTCTAATTTGACTTTAGTTTTTGACTTTTAGTTTAAAAAGGTTTGCTGTAAATAGAGCTTTTGGAATAGTAATCAGTGCCAAAATTGATTTGGATCGAGACACGAAAACATTTTTTACCTTGGCCTGGATGGTGAACATAAACTGAACGGGCAAAGTCTGGTGTTCGAATAAAAGAGAGGAAAAACCTAGGAATTGATCAGATATGAAGAGCAACATTTCATAAATTGAATCCAAGTACTGCCCATGTAAAAATTTTTGCTAATTTAACGAAACTTTGTGACGTGAAAATTCGTTAAAAATTTAACGATTTAACGATTAAAAATGTTACAATTTTGATCATGAAAACGCGTTAAACGTTTCCAAAATTAACGCGTTTAAACGCGTTTTCAAATTCTAAC